GCTGTTATGAGGCTTTTGGCGTAAAAGCCCATTAAGGCTGAAAGAGAAGTCCAATTTTTTTTCTGATGTACTTTGGTTTTTCCTTTTAAGCTAGATTTCAAAATCATTAAAAATGGTTAAACAAATCCGAACGTTGTAAATTGCAACGGCTAGAACAACTCTCATCGTTTAAATTCAACTTTGTAATCTCTCAGATAAAAACTCAAACTTGAGAAACGAAACATAGTCTGATGATCATGTTGAATCGCAATTAGGGTTACGGATGAGAATCTTGCAAGGCAAGGCACGGTCGCGATGGGTTACGGATGGGGTTTTAACCTCGTCGTTCTGTTCTCTCAACTTTTTCTGTGTCTGTACGAAGAGAAGAAGCGAGCTTTGTTTCAGGATCGTCGTTATGTTCAAAATCATGCTTTGTTCTCTGTCTCTCTCTCTAGAGATTAAGTAAGTCCATCTTAACTTTGAGAGCATTTCTTCTTAACAATTAGCTCCTCTTGTTTCTTCCTTTTTTTTGGTTTGATTCTGCTTCTGGTTTTCATGTTGACGACTTATCACAAATGTTAATTTTTGCAGTTCATGTTTGAGGAGGAGACTTTGGCTTAAGTAGCTGTTATTCGTGGATCTGGCATGCAGTGAAAGGGTAGTAGACAAATCAGAGTTTAATGGAGACGCTCAGACGTACTAAGAGAAGCACAAGTGCACAACACATCTATAGATCAGATAGTAAGGAGATTATTAAAGTACATGTTTTTTCTTTGCTTTTACTGAATCTCTCATGGTTTTAGATATTTGGCTACTAGTATTTAATTAATTGACGAGTAACACATTAGTTTTGCTTTGTTAAAGCAGCACACTCAAGAAAAATAAAAACAGAGTCACAAACAGAACAAAGCCAACACTTGGGGAACAAATTCGTTGGCTCACTCTTGCCGCACCGTTAGCCTGCAATCTTTGCGCTTTGGTTAATAAACTTCATCTTACCTATGCATGTTCTATATGCAATTTCTTGGTCCATAACGACTGTTTAAATATCCCACAAACCATAAGAATATCTCGTCACCACCACCACCACCGTGTCTCTTTCATTTCTTCTCTTCCTTTTGAAAATTGGTCTTGTGGTTGACAGCTATTATGGATCATACACTTGCAAGGTGTGTAGTGGCTATGTTGTTCACACAAAATGTGCATTGCGTAAGGATATATGGGATGGCATTGAACTCGAGGGAGTACCAGAAGAAGACGAAGGTGTCGAGTTGGAGAGGATAGCTGATGGAGTAATACTCCATTTTTCTCATGACCATCATTTGAAATGTGAGATAAGTGGAGTTTACGACGGAAACAAGTCTTGCCAAGCGTGTGCCCTTCAAATCCACGAAGGAAATATTTATGTATCCATCTTGAACCGGTGCTTGGACAGGAGCTATAATAGCATCGATCCTCGACATGCCTTTTTGGTCTGCTGTTTCGTCTTGAATATGTTTTAGATGTTGTGGAAGAAGAGGTCTTCACATAATGGTTCTTGTTTTTTTTTTAATTGTTAATAATGTTTTAACGATCGAGATTTTGGTCGTCTTCGTTTCCCCAATTCTCTCTTCTCATAAGATTACTAATGAATGCAATTCACCATATGGAGATCTATAAGGTCACTAACGGAGCTGATGGAAAAATAACCATTACATCATAGTAATATATAATGGCCGTAATCAACAATGGGGATGCAGCTCAGGTACGGGATCGCATGCGAGAGGTACGGGGGTCAAGAGGTTTAATGAAAGCTATTGGTACTGGTACCAACACAAAGATATGGTGTGAGAAATGGCTTTTTGATACGCATCCGAGAGCTCCAATTAACAACCAGAGTTTGATTGATGTTAATCTAGATGTTGCGTCTCTGATTACGTCGTCTGGTTCATGGAATGATAGACAGATTTGGAACGGTACCTACTCGGTCAAAAGTGGCTATTGGCTCGTTTCTAATCATCCTCTTACTTTTGCAACACCTCGAAGTCCTGTGGAACAGGTGAGAATCGATCTGAAGCAGAGGATATGGAAGCTTAAACCACTTCCAAAGATCCGAATGTTTTTTTTTGTGGCGAGCTTTATCAGGCACATTGGCGGTAGCATATCGTTTGAGGTTTGGTAGTTAATCCCATATGCAAACTGTACAATCAATCTGTGGAATCCATTTGTCATGTGCTGTTTGTTTGTCCTACGGCAAGTCTTCAGTTTGACATAGCTCAGGTTCCCGTACCAACACTTGGGTTTTCAGATTCTTTAGAAGATAATCTCACTTTCTTGCTGGACTTGCTCGATCAACCTAACATTTCAGAGACAACAAGAGTAGTCATTCCGTGGATGCCTTGGTGTATATGGAAGAATCGAAATGCAGTCTTATATGGTAATACTCAGGAAGCTTTTGAATCGGTTGTTGGAAAAGCAATGGAGGAAGCTGTACTTTGGCACAAGGTGAACTCTGTTTTACCAGAAACTCTGGTTTTGTCCAAGTCTTTTGGCTTGGTTTTTTCTTTACTCTTGTATTGATTCACGTTTCATGG